TACCTTGACTTACATTCAAATATGAGTATTAGTCCTATTTTCAATGTGGAGGACTTGTTTCCATATCATGGTACTTTTGAGCCTCCTATGTTTCCAGCAGGTGTTCCTACGGGTGGACTTGCTTCGTCATCAGCATCAACTACAGTTCCTACTCTTCCACCGTTTCCACCACAGCTGCATGACCAGATCGCAGATGTACTTGATGATCAGATTGTGGGCTCCTCGGATGAAAGATATCTTCATTATCTTATTCAGTGGAAAGATCGTTCAAAGACTGATGATTCATGGATTACTGAGGAGGAGTTTCGTCGGCTTGACCCTGATCTTCTAGAGCATTATCATGATCGTATCTCTCCGGAGGCGAGTTCTTTTCAGCCGGGGGGAAATGATAGGAATCGGATTATATTTCGTTATAGTAGGCGTAGGCGTAATGATTAGGAGTTATTTGTCATTATGACTATTTATTTTTTTTAGAGTTCTTTTAGAATTTGTAGTCTCCCTATACATATAGGAGATATGTTATTTGTTTTGGAGAGACTTTGATTATTGATTATTGATGTTAAATCTTCTTTGTAAAATTCTCTCTATTCTCATCTCCTTCTTCTTTTCTCATCACTTTCTTCTTCCCTTCTCATCACTAATTCTTCTCTAACACGATCTACATCACTTATGCAGCATAGTCAATTTGATATGAACAATAGAATCTATATTCAGAGAAGTACAAAACATCCCAAAGATATTCTACTAAACATCATTTTCCAAAGTACAACTTTGTACACAAACCTCTGTAGCTAGAAGCAAGCTGGTGCACTCATCAGCACTGGGCAAAAAGTCACCATAAAGCTGCCAAAAATTGTCCTTGCAATCAAATGCAAAAAGAAGCAGACAAGCTAACCTCAGATCCCAATCTGTCTGCCACAACAAAATACACAATATAAAACAAATTAAGCTAATACACTAATGCAGATATTGCTTGAGCATCAGTCATTAGGTTGCTACATAATGTATAAAATAGGCTAAGGTTGGAGCAACACAATAATAAAACTTTATCTCTTAATGCTTGCAGTAGAGAAGAAAATTATTTCTATACATAATCACAGGATAACAGTAAGAGGAAACACATTTACCTGCGGGTTGGTTGAGTTTATAATGTCAAATACTGGGTGAACCACAGGAATGATATCAGGAAAAAACATCCATGGAAGCTTTTGGCTAATAGTCAGCATCAATTCCAATGGAATTTCCATGATCACCTGTAATGTTAAGTACAAAATTGGAGATTATAACAAACTGTACATCAATTGTCATTTGGATTTGAGATATTGAACACATCATATTTTCGTTTACATTGCAAAACAAACCAATGGACACATTCATAAAAAAAGAAATAATACTAACAATATACAACCAAAAATTAGTGTCATAGCTGTTTAGCCTCAAGTGAAATCAAGCTTACCCTGGCTCGACGAAGAGGTTCAACGTCTTTCGAAGCATAGACTCCATATCCATCGGGACCTTCCTTGAACTCAATTCCATAACATCGGACACTTCTCACATATCCTATCTTGTAGAAATCAGGGTCAGTTGACTCCAACTGTTTACAAAATACAATCATTATTCCTTTTCTATTTGATTTTCGTCATAATGAAAATGCAAATGAATAATGAAACAAGGAGACAATAACATATGATCAATCAACATGATAAATAAATAAGTAAACTAATAAAAGCCAGAAACAATACAAAAGAGTCTCCAAAAAAAAAGGCAGCTCACAGCGGTTGATAAAACATTATTTTCATTATTCTTGAAATGATTTTCTCGGAATAAAACTTCTTCATTTAAGCAAATGAATATTGCAGAACATGAATTGATTCCCTTCAGAAGAGCATTTAACAAAATAGATATGGGGGTTCAAATTTGAGAATAGTAAAAAACAAGGAAAATAAAACAAAAAAGACAGATGAGTCTCAAAATTGAAGCCCCAATTGATANTTGCACTAAGTCTACTGATGCCTCACATGTAGCAAAATTATTTTTTAGAGAGGTCGTTCGACTACATGGGTTGCNCAAAAAAGACAGATGAGTCTCAAAATTGAAGCCCCAATTGATATTCTTTTATTGGGATAGACGAAGCTCCTTCGGTTTCTTAAACATTATCAGTATATCCATNGGTCGTTCGACTACATGGGTTGCCTATTTCCATTGTATCTGATAGGGATGTCAAGTTTGTGAGTTATTTTTGGAAGACACTTTGGAAACTCTTTGGAACTAGTCATAAGTTTTCCTCTGACTTTCATTCCCAAACTGAGGTAGTCAATCGTAGCTTAGAAGATTTGCTTAGCTGTCTAGTGGGAGAGAAGATGGGAAATTGGGATTTGTTGTTGCCTACTGCTGAATTTGCCTATAATAACTCCGTCAACAGGTCGATTGGTTTATCCCCTTTTGAGATTGTTTATGGTCATTCCCCTAGACAACCCATTGATTTATTACCTTTACCTCCTGATTCCCGCCCCTCACACTCAGCCAAAGCTTTTGCCCGACATATTCATGACTTGCATGCCGACATAAGACAGAAAATTACATTAAATAATGAAAATTATAAATTGGTTGCAGATGTTCATTGTAGGAATAAAGAATTTATTGTGGGAGACTATTTCATGGTTAGTATGCGTCCTGAATGTTACCCTAAAAATTCTTTCAAAAAGTTACATGCTCGAGCCACTGGCCCTTTTCGTATTCTTCGTAAGCTTGGACCGAATGCATATTACCTTGACTTACATTCAAATATGAGTATTAGTCCTATTTTCAATGTGGAGGACTTGTTTCCATATCATGGTACTTTTGAGCCTCCTATGTTTCCAGCAGGTGTTCCTACGGGTGGACTTGCTTCGTCATCAGCATCAACTACAGTTCCTACTCTTCCACCGTTTCCACCACAGCTGCATGACCAGATCGCAGATGTACTTGATGATCAGATTGTGGGCTCCTCGGATGAAAGATATCTTCATTATCTTATTCAGTGGAAAGATCGTTCAAAGACTGATGATTCATGGATTACTGAGGAGGAGTTTCGTCGGCTTGACCCTGATCTTCTAGAGCATTATCATGATCGTATCTCTCCGGAGGCGAGTTCTTTTCAGCCGGGGGGAAATGATAGGAATCGGATTATATTTCGTTATAGTAGGCGTAGGCGTAATGATTAGGAGTTATTTGTCATTATGACTATTTATTTTTTTTAGAGTTCTTTTAGAATTTGTAGTCTCCCTATACATATAGGAGATATGTTATTTGTTTTGGAGAGACTTTGATTATTGATTATTGATGTTAAATCTTCTTTGTAAAATTCTCTCTATTCTCATCTCCTTCTTCTTTTCTCATCACTTTCTTCTTCCCTTCTCATCACTAATTCTTCTCTAACACGATCTACATCACTTATGCAGCATAGTCAATTTGATATGAACAATAGAATCTATATTCAGAGAAGTACAAAACATCCCAAAGATATTCTACTAAACATCATTTTCCAAAGTACAACTTTGTACACAAACCTCTGTAGCTAGAAGCAAGCTGGTGCACTCATCAGCACTGGGCAAAAAGTCACCATAAAGCTGCCAAAAATTGTCCTTGCAATCAAATGCAAAAAGAAGCAGACAAGCTAACCTCAGATCCCAATCTGTCTGCCACAACAAAATACACAATATAAAACAAATTAAGCTAATACACTAATGCAGATATTGCTTGAGCATCAGTCATTAGGTTGCTACATAATGTATAAAATAGGCTAAGGTTGGAGCAACACAATAATAAAACTTTATCTCTTAATGCTTGCAGTAGAGAAGAAAATTATTTCTATACATAATCACAGGATAACAGTAAGAGGAAACACATTTACCTGCGGGTTGGTTGAGTTTATAATGTCAAATACTGGGTGAACCACAGGAATGATATCAGGAAAAAACATCCATGGAAGCTTTTGGCTAATAGTCAGCATCAATTCCAATGGAATTTCCATGATCACCTGTAATGTTAAGTACAAAATTGGAGATTATAACAAACTGTACATCAATTGTCATTTGGATTTGAGATATTGAACACATCATATTTTCGTTTACATTGCAAAACAAACCAATGGACACATTCATAAAAAAAGAAATAATACTAACAATATACAACCAAAAATTAGTGTCATAGCTGTTTAGCCTCAAGTGAAATCAAGCTTACCCTGGCTCGACGAAGAGGTTCAACGTCTTTCGAAGCATAGACTCCATATCCATCGGGACCTTCCTTGAACTCAATTCCATAACATCGGACACTTCTCACATATCCTATCTTGTAGAAATCAGGGTCAGTTGACTCCAACTGTTTACAAAATACAATCATTATTCCTTTTCTATTTGATTTTCGTCATAATGAAAATGCAAATGAATAATGAAACAAGGAGACAATAACATATGATCAATCAACATGATAAATAAATAAGTAAACTAATAAAAGCCAGAAACAATACAAAAGAGTCTCCAAAAAAAAAGGCAGCTCACAGCGGTTGATAAAACATTATTTTCATTATTCTTGAAATGATTTTCTCGGAATAAAACTTCTTCATTTAAGCAAATGAATATTGCAGAACATGAATTGATTCCCTTCAGAAGAGCATTTAACAAAATAGATATGGGGGTTCAAATTTGAGAATAGTAAAAAACAAGGAAAATAAAACAAAAAAGACAGATGAGTCTCAAAATTGAAGCCCCAATTGATATTCTTTTATTGGGATAGACGAAGCTCCTTCGGTTTCTTAAACATTATCAGTATATCCATAGTATATACAGAGTATTGAAACCTTACTGTTTAAATAAAGAGGCAATCATGGACCCGCAAATGATAAATTCAAAAGCATATATGCGCCTAAACAAGTAGATTAAAATTCAAAAATAGGTCAAGGGGTAAAAACAAAACCAACAACAGAAAGAGATGGGTCATTTGGGGTAGGCGGTGAATTTTACCACAGAAGCAGTAATATCTTCGGGTTGGGGTGGAGGTTGAAGAAGTGGGAATGAAATAGAAGATGGTAACGGAGTGGTCTCAACAACAGAAGCTCTGATGGCTCCAATTCTGTCATTACATATGGTGGAGAGTGACGTTGACCATCCATGACGGTTGTCTTTCATAAACTTCCTCAGATAATACCCAGTCACCTGCTGCTGCTGCTGGTTGTTGAAAATGAAACAGTTGGTGGATTGTTGACGTAGAATGGAGGAAGACATTGCAGCTGCGTTGTGTAGGTAGACTTACACTAGAGTAGGGAATCTCAGGAAAACTAAGCAGAAGAAGCAGCGTTATCCACTTCTGCAACAACACGCGGGCCCTCTCAACGAGTAAATATCGGGCGTAAGCACAACTCTGCAATGAAATATTACGCCGTAGCACAGTCAATAGAAAAACTAAATAATATTTAAAGTAATTATTACACATATAAGAGCATACGGAGATCTAAGACATCCAAAATTTTCAAATTTTAGCTATTTAACTAAAAAATTATCATTCTAGCACATTATTTTCAAAACATTTAAAATAATATTTTACTGCAATTATATATTCTATATTTAGAGTATCACTATAGCGATATGTAAAAAAATTTTATAATATTTTCTCTCTCTTCCTCTCCTTTCTTTCGTTCTCTCTCTTTCTCCCTTTTACTATTTCAAAAAAAAATAATACAAAAGAAATAAAAAATAATATTTAAAAGAAATAGTTAAAAATATAAAAAATCTGTTAAAGTTTGTATTAAAAAAGTAAGTAATTAAAATAGAAAATATTATTTTTTGAGTAGATAAAACAACTTTTGTTGTTGGAGATGCTTTAACTCTTACAAAAGAGGCCGTTGGCATTCATGACGTACTTAACCTACTTAATTCAGCTCACCTGTTGCATCCATGTACACACAACATAAGGCCTCTTACTTTCACATAGAGCTATTTTTTTTCCCCATCTCTTTTGTTACTTACCCACCAACGCCTCGACTCATCTCTTTGTTACACCATCGCTCCAATGACAAGCTTCTACTTAAAACCAGGCGGTTTTGGAAATTTATACCAAAAATCAAGCGGTTTTGAAAAGTATTTCTCAAACTCATATACTTTGAAAAAGGTCAGTCGAAATGACGTCTCTACAGCAAAAACGTTAGTTGGAATAACGTTTTTAAGACGACCTAAATCTATGCTTAAATGTGTGAAAACAATAGTTAAACCAATGTTTCTTAATAAAAATGTTATTTGGACCAACTTTTTAACTTTAAATTAAACCTTTCTTCCTCTTCTTTCCTTCTCCCTCATTTCCCCTTTTTATTGTTCTGAGCCTTAACTCAAAATCAGACAACCCTCCATAATGGCCAAGCTGCCACCACCACCCAAATCTCCAATCCCCCACCATGACCTGCGAAATCTCCGCCAAACCAAACCCATCATCAGAAACCCACCCTTCAATCAAAACCCAATTACCTCCCCTCCAATCGATAGGACCCTAGCTAAGTGAAGTCAACCAGAGCTTCCACAACAACCACTTTTCCTCCACTACCTCAACAATCGCCAATTAGCGCTCATTACATTCTAGTAGGTCCCTCTTACTCTATGCTTGAATTATTTTCCCTAATCTCCAAACACGAACCCAAACTATGTGTATATGGCTTTATACGAGTAGGTGAGTGTCACTTTCCCTTGGGTTCAAATACAAGAAATGAAAAACATTGTGTGTGAACAAAAATGTGTATGTGTATGTGCAAAAGTGCTCCCCAAGCGGAGAGAGACTTGCAATGTCGTGTTTAGCTTGGAATGGGTATTCCAATGTCGTCTCCTCTGGGAAGAAAAGGTCAAATTGTCTTGAAGGGTGATTTGTGAAAGAAATGAAAATTGAAAGTTTTGAAATTTGTGTTTTGTTGAGTTGTGTTTTGGTAAAAATGCAAGAAAATAAAATTGGCTAATCCATAGAGGTCATTCCAATGGGAATGTCAAATAGATTCAATTCATTCAACCAATGGTATCTTGGTGTTTGATTGATTCATAGGAAGTGAGGGACCAATGTGGATTAGTTGGATAAAAGTTTATCATGTGATAAGTCTACCGTGTATCAAGAGCCCACAACCACGTCCGCACTCAACATAGTCAAACCAAATATTTTACACTGCGAGGAAGAATGAAAAATAGTTGATTTTACATACCTAAGAGAAAATTCCCCTTGGATTAGCTAACTAAAAGTCTAGCTACTCATAGTAAAAGCAAGAACCAACATAAGGTAAAGAGACATGGTAGTGAAATGAAACATGAAACTTGTATTAATGCAAGAAAGGGTTTAAAGTACAAGAGCAAATTCATTCATACCCAAAATACAAAGATTAAAGACAAAATATCCAAATGTAGAAATGGAAATGCTATAACACTTAGTGATTAGCACAAAAACTTGACATATTTTGTATGCTAATTTGTCCTTTTATACTTGTTTTTGTCATCAAATTGGGAGGAAATGCGTTTAATTCTCTCGTTGATGGAGTTTTGTGTGAATGCAGGTAAAATGATGTGTTTGGATTGTATTAAGCCTGCATTGAAGTGTTTGAAATCAATGAAGATAAGGGGTTGGCTTAAAGGAAGTTTTGGAGGGTGAAGAAACCAAGAAAAATCCAAATTGGTTGAAAACCTTCCAGAAGGTTTTGCCTTGGTTTTCTTTTTTATTGTCAAATCCTTCTGGAAGGTTTTGTCTACTAGATTAAACGTTCAGGAAGATTTTGTTTACTAGAACTAATTATTTTTGAAGGTCTTGTCTACTGGAATGAACCTTCCAGAAGGTTTTGCCTGTTTATGCACAAACCTTCTAGAAGGTTTATGTTGACTTTTTAGAAGGTTTTGCCCAGACTGCCTAGACAACCTATAACTTAAGCTCTGCAAATTAGGGGTCCCACCTACACTTTTCCAGCAAATCCCCTAACATTCCTTACACATCTAGAAGCTCCCCCTCACCTTTACTTGGACTTTGGAGATTTGTGCAATAATAAGGAGGAGAGAGAAGAGGCATGGCAAGAAAGAAATGCTACGTTTGTCCTAGCCTGCACCAACCCATCTCTTCCAGCCCCCTATGATTGGGATCACATCACAGGCTAATAGGGGGCTCCATGGACATTTTTGGTAAGCTCATACACCATTATTCAACATTATTATGGAGATACATTGTAATAGAGNATGGACATTTTTGGTAAGCTCATACACCATTATTCAACATTATTATGGAGATACATTTTAATAGAGAGAGAGAGAGAGAGAGAGTCTAAGGTAGAAGATGAATAGTGCTAGAGAAAGAAGTTAATATTTTTACATTTTCTTCCATACATTGTCTTGTAATCCCTTGTAAGAATCTTTTAAGCTTCATTTAATGTCTTCAATGATGTTTACTACAAGTTCATTTGAAGTTTAATCTTTCATTCTAGCTTTGATGAGTGGGTTTTAAACCTATGTATTGAGTACTCTTGGCTTAACAAAATTACAAGTTTTCAAGTATTTTATGTTCTTTTTTATTTGTTTTATTTTTTTTGTGTGTTTTAATGTTATTTGTAGGAATCATCATTTGAAAGGAAATAAGGTCATTTAGCAGCCTAAGTGTTGAATTTTTGAAGACTAAGCAACATGGGTAGTTTAGTCTTTTTTATTTGTTTTGTATGCTTTAATGTTATTTTGTAGGAATTATCATTTGAAAGGAAATAAGGTCATTTAGGAGCCTAAGTGTTAGATTTTTGAAGACTAAGCAGCAAGGGTAGCTCTAGGCTTAAAAGGGGATCAGCGCCTCAGCATTACAAACTAGTGCCTAGGAGCTAGGAGGGCAGAAAATCAGTACCCCTACACTGATTTTAAGGGTTGCAATGCTTGTTTTAATGTAGACGCGAATTCTAACTTGTTTTTGAGTTAAAATTGAACCCTAATGCTACATATATGTTAGGGTTTGTGTTGGGACTAAGATATACTGATTTGAGGGGCTGCTAATAGAGGATTAACAAAGAATCGATGGTGAATTGAAGGCAAGAATCGAAGGAAGTGACACAATTGAACTTGAAAGCTAGAGAGAAATTGAAGATTACAACTAAGTTTTCATTATTTTCTCTTAATTTTACTTCTTGATTTTCTGAGATGTTGTTTAATTTGAGAAGGATGTTTTTCAATTATGTTATAAACTAAATTTTTATTAAGATTGAAACGGAACCTGATGTTTAGTTAAATTGATCTACTCTCGTTTCTAGTTCTATTGATCATACATGAGTTGTTTGTTATATTTTGTGCTTAATATATGATTGTGTGACCAACAATTAATTTTATAACCTAGATGAAATTAGAAAATGAATTCTAGTTTTAGATCTGAATATGATGACATGCGTCTGGTTAATTCTTCTTAGGATTGAATTGTTGGGTTTGTATATAGGATAAGAATATACCAATATGATATGTGTAACTTTTATGAGACTTTGAATTTAATGAATCTATTTCAAATTATTTTATATAGGAATATAGTAATTTAATTGGGAGAGATATTTTTATCTAACTATCGGAAGAGGTTTAATAAATAATTTTGATTTCTCAGTTAACAACTTATTTTAATCAATTAATTGGATAGAGAGAGTGGAAAGATTTCTAGAAAGCATTAGGGGAAATTGTAATCTTAACTTCCTTTATCGGTAAATTCAACCCTTGATTATTAAGTTTAGATTTATTTTTAAATTAGTGAATTCTTAGTTCAATTCTAATTGTTTAAATAAAATCGAATTGATATAAAGTTAATACTTGGAAATTATTAGTAATAATTCTCCGTGGGAGATACTCTACTTATCACTTTATTACTTGTTGATCGTGTATACTTGCACGTAAATTATCAATATCAAATTCAGACAACAGCTTTCACTATTAATGCTTTCAAGTTCTTCATTTTCAAGCTTTAAGATGGGTATTAAATGTACTTTCCTATAGCTTATGTTTTCTTGCATTAACTTAATTCCAATCTTCACTTCTCTAAAATGTCTTTCCATTACATTATTGTCTTTGCCTTAAGTATGAGTAGATAAACTTTTAAGTTGGCTAATCCAAGGGAGACCTCGTCTTGGGTACGTCATTTCAACTCATTTTCTTTCCTCCTCATAGTGTACGTTGATTCGGTTTGATTGGGTTGAGTGTGGACATGGGTGTGAATCTTTGATATCCCGTAGACTTGTCACGGGTTATGTTTTGATCCTCACTTC